GGCTCCCGAGCATTTTGCACAGCACAGGTGCAGAGCGTCTTCTTCAGGGCAGAACATTCCATTGGAGGAGTTTGTGGAAGGAGCAACGAGAGCTTGTTGTAGATTAGGGTGTAAATGGTAAAAGGGTGACAGTGACCACACAGGTAGTTACTGCGACGGGTAATGATCCAGATAACGTCATTTTCATGCATAAGAAAGTAAGTTCAGAAGCACTGTAAACTGAGTTTTAAAAGCAGTCTAGCAGTCGGCTAACCCGACCCCAGGGAGGCAGTGTCGGGATGGCGGGAAGAGCGCTAGTCCAGAGGGAGACCCGACTTGGACCCCTGTGTCTCCTTCCTGATCAGCTGGGACACCTCCTGCAAATCGCTCTCTTTCCTCAGATCACTCGAGACCCATGAGCTATGACTGTGTTTTCTCCGAGAGTCCCTCCTAATTTAGAATGTTTCCCTTTAATTACGTCTGTGGATACAATTTTTTAAGTAAGAATGACTTTAAAAAATATGTTTTTATTGATTTCAGAGTGGAAGGGAGAGGGAGAGAGAGATAGAAACTTGTTGATGAGCGAGAGTCACTGATCTGCTGCCTCCTGCACGCCCCACACTGGGGATCGAGCCTGCAACCCGGGCATGTGCCCTGACCGGAAATTGAACCGCGACCTCCTGGTTCATAGGTCAATGCTCAACCCCTGAGCCATGCCAGTGGAGCGGTAAAAATGGCTTTTTAAATCCTTCTCCTAAGTCTATCTAAACTCACATGTCCAGCCCTCTGAGAATCCACTCATTTCCCCAGTATTTCCCCCAATGTCACTCCTGTGTGCAGGAGCACCCCCACTTTCTTGAGGCAGAGGGTGGGGGTGGGGGTGGGGCCGCCAGCACTCAGCAGGCACGCTGCCACTTGGCATCACCTGGGAGGAAATCTCTCTGCCTTCCAAGGTAGTGGGGAAGGTGAATCCCGCGATGGAATTGGGAACGTGCAAAAAATGTCATCTGGGCTTAGAAATGTTTTCTTACGTAGCAAGCCCCTCCCAACCAGTGGAACAAAATTTTTGTCAGATCTGTTTCTTGCCACTGAATGTTTCAGCTCTTCTTGGCTATAGGACATGGTCCATCCAAAGCCGTGTTTTATGTGTTAGCCACAGAGCTCCCCCTTTCTGAGAGAGCGGCATGGCCCGTATGACCCGGGGTGACATGTGGCCCCTGCGCTGCGGTCTCACGCCCACTCCGGCCAGCCAGCCACCCTCTGGGGAAGTTGGAGCTGGCCATCGCCTGCCCATGATCAGCTCTCAGTTGTTTGTGATTTTCTTGCAAAATAAATACTGAGGCTATAATTTCTCATGCTCGTTCTCAGCCTCAGAAGTGTATTCTGTTGTTTTTAGAAAGTTCAAAAACGTCTGCTTGGAGGAGCTTGTATCAATGGGAACACGTGTGTCAGCAGTTAAACTTCTCAGACATGTTTGATGCTTCGTGTCCAAGTAACCCTTTAAAAAGCAAGGACTTAAGCCTCAGGGAGGAATTCATGTCAAGAATTCATTTTCCCTTCTCTCTGCTTTTTGACTCTTATCTTGGTCTCTCCTCTTTTTCTGAGAAATTGCATAGAAAATAAAGATCTATCTAGACAGACCTTGCTTTTCTGGGAAAAATGCCAGGCCTTACTGTTGCAACTTTGAAATTGTACCTTGATCATTTCACAGTGGGGCAGAGTTACACTGCACAGCGTACTCCAGTGAACCTTGCTGGCCTTTTTTACTCATTAAAGCAAAGTGCTCAGAAATCTGTCTCTTTGGAATGACCTTTCTAGACTAAACTCGCTCGGTATCCTGGTTCAGGAAGTAACCCCGTTTCCCAGCTGTTAGATAAGAGGCGTCGTGGTTCCAGGGCCCCCGGCCCGGTCCCATGTGTGTGTCACAGCCCTGCTCTTGCATGAAGGAAACCTCACGGTGTCCTGCTTTGGGGTCATTAAATGGTACCTGCTCTGAAGCTGGTGTGGGGATTAATGAGTTAACTCCTTCCTGCTCCTCTGGGTACCTGCTTCCTCTCCCCTCGCCCCCCCCCAGCGCCATTCTTTTCTCCTTGCTGCTTTTAAAGGCAGGATGGTGGCGGGCAGCAGCAATGGGGTCTGTTTCCAGTTTGAACCTTATAAATTACCGAGGGTGCAGAAGTAACGGGGATTGTCTGGCTGGTCCTCGTTAAGCAGGAGGGGTCAGAGCTGAATTTCCGCAGTAAAACCTGTGTGGACTTTACAACCCAAACACCTCCGCAGCCACCCTGTGCTCAGATGCCAGCCAGCCCTCCCGCCCCTTTGTCTGCCGGTCTTCTTTTTTGCCCTTTATTACTTTGCATCCCTGCCTCTCTGCCTCCCAGCTCTTCTTCCTTCCTTCCTCCCCTTTTTCCTTCCATTCTTCCTCCTTTCCTTGGGGCAGGGAAGGAACAGGTGTCCCCAAAGTCCTTAAGGGATGGAGGAAATGAGGGCGTCATGAACTATCACGTTCCCTAAATTCCTACGATGGCAATCCATGCAGTGTTCTAGATAAATATGTTGTCTCGTTTGATGGAAAGGAGGCAATTCAAACAAGTATCTGGAAAATTTAGAGGACACCCAAAGCTTGCTTTTTTAGTATAGAACTTTTCTCTAGAAATAACTTAAAATTCCTCACTGTTCTACATCACCTATATTCTAACTCCGTTAAGCACCCACTGGGTGCAGGGTGCTGACAGAACATGTGTGGAAAGGCCCAACCGGTGTTGCTCAGTGGTTTAATGTTGACCCATGAATCAGCAGGTCACGGTTCGACTTCCGGCCAGGGCTCGGTCTCCTGTGTGGGGCGGGCAGGAGGCAGCCAATCAATGATTCTCTCTCATCATTGATGGTTCTCTCTCTCTCTCCCTCTTCCTTCCTCTCTAAAATCAATAAAAAATATATATATTTTTTTAAAAAAAGAAAATGTGTGAAAAGGCTACTATTGTGGTTAAGAGCACAGAGCTGGGTTGCATTCCAGGCCTGCATTTATGTGAACTAACCCCTGGAACTCAGGGTTCTCACCTGTAAGATGGGGATAATACTCCCCACTTTATAGTGTTTTTATGAAGATTAAAAAAATACCTCCCGCAAAAGAACTAAGCAAGGACCCTATAGTGAGAGCAGGCCTGCCCCACGCCCCTGCCTCCTCACACCTGTCCCCAGCCACCTCCATTCACATCCTTTGCAGAGGTCTTAATTTCACTTTGCTAATAACATGACCCTTTTGATTTACTGGATTGTCCAAAAAAAAAGAGCAAAAGCTCTCTCAATACTAAGAGGAAGATATTTTATCTTGTCAAGAAAATACTCTTGAAAAGCTTCTTTCAGACTTTTCTTTCAAACCTTTTATAGAAAATGTGCCCTTGTCCTTTCCCAGAGCGAAGGAGAAGTCTCCGATGTGGAACACAAGGCAAAGGGAGGGATGAAGAGGCAAAGGGGAAAACTCCTTCTTGGAAAACATTCAGAGCAAGTGTGGGGCTGGTCCACCATCTCTCTGGCGATGCTTGCTGGGCAGAGCGATGTGCCCTCTTGCCTCCAGCAGCCAGGGGGAAAGCCCAGGGCAAAGGAGCTTGGAGAAGGGAGGGGTTTAGGCAAACCCCTGCACAGAGCAAGAGCCCGAAGCCCAGCCTTCATCCCGTGTGTCCGTGTGTCGTGTCCCGAGCGATGGCGGTTGAAGAGCCGAGGACCGGCTCCCGCAGCCGACTGCGCAGGCAGCCAGAGCTCCAGACCGTGCGCACAAGGCATCGCTCAGCTGGGGCGCGCCGCTCCTTCCCTGGGCTTCCGGTGGCGACGGAGAGTCTTTGAAAGAGTCGTCGGTTAGATAAACTGGTCTAGGAGGGTTCACATTGTGAGTGTCTGTCACCCCCCTGGAAGTGACTCCTAGTATTCCCACCTGTGCGTGGTTCAGGACGCTGCATCCACTGTCGATGGCCTGCATGTTGCCTTCACTCTTCTCTGAAGCTCACTCCAGGGCCTCCCTGCCCAACCAGCATGTCCACCCACTTTCCTTCTTGGCCTCATGTGCCGTAAGTGCAGCAGTGGAAAGCGTGGAAGCAACGTCGTGGTTAGGCTGCGACAGAAGTGTGTGTGAGCGTACACCCGCCTCTCGGTGATGTTGATGCGTCTTTCAAGGCCTGTAGCTTAAAGGAGGCTTCAAGATATAACACTGTGGCAGGGAGGAGTTCAAGTCCTAGGCAGGCAGTGAGAGGGTGGCTGGGAGCTGAGCGGGGCGTCTGGCGGCTGGAGGTGCAGTGAAGGCTAGAACCCGCAGGGATGCTGTTCTGGGTGGACAGGCAGCCTGGTCCATCAATCAGGCTCAGGAGTGCAGATTTTGTGGAAATAAAAAGGCCAGAATTCCAGCACCGGGGGAGAGAAGGTGGGGCCTTGGCCGATGTGTGACTTTTATATGTTGTGGGACTAGAGGTTATAGACAGGCTGAGGCGGGTAGGTTGATTCCAAGAATAAAGAGTTCACAGAGATGCAGGGATAGGGTTGGGGAGAAAGGGAACCTGCCACTTTGGTGAGTCCCTGAGACTTTAGGACTCGGTTGCCAGCACCCTAAACAAGGGGCTCCGACGCACAGTCGGGTCGCAGCACTGTCTGCCGTGGTCTGTGCTAGTGGCACATGGCCACAGACCTCCGGCCTCCTGCAAGCAGTGGTACCGGTGTCTGTGCTGGGTGTTCACTGCCCGTGTCTTGGCCCCTGTCCTTGCCGCTGTAGCTACGCCAGGCAAGGCTGCAGCATTCTTACCATCACACCACCACCTTCTAGCTCCAGGTGGGGGTAACTTTGAAGCATCTTTTGGATGAGAAATGGTGTGAGCGTGTTCTTGGGCCTTCCAGCAGCACAGCAGGCCAGCACTCGGCGTGTCCGGCGTGTCTGATGGAAGCAGGGGGTGTGGGGACCAACCAGGCTCTGGCTTACACGTGGGCATCTCAGGCCTTCTCACCATGGCTGGCTCTCTCTCTCTCGCTCGCTCCAGAGTGCTGTAGAGGATTGCAGAATCTCTGGGAGTGACTGGTGGCTTATGGGACGTTGGCTTCGGACCCTTTGTCACACACCTGCCGCGTGGGACGATGACGACTCAGAGAGGAAGGAGGCCCGCAGTCACGCTCACCTGCCTCCTCTTGGCCACAGCCGGCTGTTTCGCTGACCTGAGTGAGTCTGCCCTTCCCTTTCTCCGCCTGCCCCTCTCGGGAGAACACTTGCCCCTTAATGTCAGACAGAAGCGTTGCACATTCTACCACAGCCCTTTCAGAAGCCCTTCCTCTCTCGGGATTTGAAAGAGCACTCATTCCCCCTGGTTCAGGGACACGCTCAGTAACACAAGATGAGAACTGATCCCTGCAACATCCCAGGGCTCATAGCTGGGTATTTTAATCGTTTCTGAGCCATTCCAGGGGAGGAGGAACAGTAATAGTAACTGCCTTGTTCTGAGCACTTAATATTTGAGATTATGGCAGGCAGTTTACATGTTTGTGAGCTTCACAGCAGCCCTGTGGGAAGTATTATTAGCCCCATTTTACAGATAAGAAACTGAGGCCCCAAAAAGGCCAAAGTCACATGGCTCAGAAGAGTGGGACTGGGATTCAAATTTAGGTCTGTCCAACTCCAAGCCTACGTGCCCGCCTTTGCACCCACGGCCACTCCATTCTGCCCTCCGGATTGAGCACCGGCTGGGGAGGGCACCCCGGTCTCTGGACCAAACCATCAGAGAAAGATCCGCTCCACTGGCTGCTCGGCTCTGAAAGGCTGCCTGGTGCTGCGCTTCTCAAAGGTCCTGCTGCTGGAGCCCTGAGAGTGTCACTTCACGGCTGCATCTGTTCTTCTTGCAGACAAGGTGCCTCAGGTCAGCGTGCAGCCTCCCTCCACGGTCCAGAAGCTCGGGGGAACTGTGATCCTGGGCTGCGTGGTGGAGCCGCCGGGGATGAGCACCACCTGGCGCCTGAACGGGAGGGAGCTGAACGGTTCCGATGATGCCCTGGGCGTCCTCATCTCCCGCGGGACGCTCGTCATCACCGCCCTCAGCAACCGCACCGTGGGACGGTACCAGTGTGTAGCCCGGATGCCTGCGGGGGCCGTGGCCAGCGTGCCAGCCACGGTGACACTAGCCAGTGAGTGCTGCTCCTTTGCTCCCCGGCCGTGGGGCGGTCTCCTCCTCTCTCCCAGTCTCTCTGGTCTCTCTGCCCTCGCCCCCTCATCATTCATACCCCCGGTCATTAGTCTTACCATAAAGGGGTCTTGATCACTGAAATGTAAAATCACGTGTGGGAGCGGCCCAGCAGTCCCAGGGGCGGGGCATGTGCCTTGCGAAGCCACTTGGCGAGAAGGGGACATGCGTGTCTGGGCTGAGTGTCAGGAAGGAGAGAACTTGACATGGATGAGCTATTTCTGTGGCCCCAGAGCTGGGCCAGGCCATGCCTTTCCACTTGGTCACTCTGTGGGTTTAGGTGGTTGTGCCAGTTGCTCACTGTCCCCTCCGTCCTCCAAGCTCCATCCTCACTGCGGCTGCCGTCGGAGCACTGACAGGGCTCTGTGTGGGCTGAACAGAGCCTGCCCGCCCCACTCTTGGCCACCTGCCTCTCTCTGAGGGGCACGCACATTATACAAATGCCTGGAGTGTAAACAGCAGCACAGAGTGGAAAGGAAGCTGCACGACAAAGGGCTCAAGAGAAGAGAAAGAGAGAAGAGATCAGGTGATGGTTTGGTCCAGAGAGGCTGCCAGGAGAGGACTTCATGCTACTCTTGCATGTAATCGCCACTCGGGTCTACTCTGACCCAGGCACCACACGCACCTTACCCGGTCTGCTACCCACTGCACGCGTGGCAAATGAGACTTGACTGATTAAATAAACGTCCGAGGCTGGAGAGCCCCCACCCCCACCCCCACTCTTATGTGCCAGGTCTGGAGCTGGGCTATATAAAGAACCACCCCCCTTTCCTGGAGCCTGAAGTGTAGGGCATGGGGAAACTCTGAGATTAGTGGGGTTTGGGTTTAAACTGAGATCTTCAGAGCTTGCTCCCCTGTGACTCACTCGGCAGTGCCCCCTTCTCCCTGGCAGCCCTGCCTTGGGCTTCCACGTCAACACCATCGCCACCCTGGTGGGTGAGATGTCCAGGAGGCCGTGGGTCACGCTGGGGGCCCTGGGCGGTGTGAGCCCTGGGAGGAGAGCGATGAGGGTGGGGAAGCAGAAGAGCAGAGGAGGAAAGACCCTTCTCTCCCTCTGGCTCCCAGATCCCTGAGGGGCTGCCCTCCACGGGAACCATGGAGCAGCCCTGCCCGTTTCTCAGAAGGGAGGAAGGCAGGGTGGGTCCCCGTCTCCCTCGGGGGCCAGGCCCACCAGCCTGGGCTGCATCTGGGAGCCACTCCCCAGCCTCCATGAGAGCCACTTTGTGGCAGAAAGAGCACCAGTGGATCTGCACGCCGGCCTTGGGGGAGCAGGCCCTGGGCTAGTAGCCGAGCTGTGGGTGATTAGAGGGCGCAGGAGACTTGGGTGAGGACGGGGAGGGTGCGGAGGGGCCATCTCTTCATGAAAGGAAAGGTTGAGGTCAGAGCTCCACCTCCTACCATCATACTCCTCCTTTATATTTTTAATTATAGCTAAATTACATTATAGAAATCTATAGAAAACAGTGTTTCTCCTGAGCCCCCATCACACAACCACTATTATCATTTTGGAGCATGCCCTCCCAGCGTTTCTCCAGATCCACGTCTCGCACTGTTGACTACTGAACATGTGGTCTCTACCTTTTCTCCTCTTCCCCTGGACACGGTACGACAAGCATTTTGCATTGGCCATGTTTTAATTTTGTCTTTTTTATCGAGTGTTAAATGCATCTTTTTTATCGAGTGTTAAATGCATTCGTAAAGCACACGAAGTGCGCTAATGTTCCGTGACAACCTGGCGCGGTTTCCACGTGTCCACACCGTGTGCCGTCACTCCAGCAGGTTCCTCGTGCCCCTTCCCAGCTCACCTGCCCCACCCCAACCAGAGCAGGTTCATCGTTCCCCGTGGCCCGGGAACATCCACCAAAAGGCACCGAACCCTTTTCCCATCACCAGTCAGGTTGCTCCCAGTTGTCTGTTCTTACAAATAAGATGTGCTTTTTAGCAGCATTGGTGCCTTTGAAGGAAAATGCTGCTCATCTCAGAGGGAGAGTCCATCTGCAAATGGTCAGCACATGTCTGTGAAGTGCAAAAATGCCATCACCATTCACTTGGCCTAATTAGGAGCCAGGCTGAGCCTTCCATTGTTTGGAGACGGGGAGAGCTGGAGAGGAGGAGGTTTGCTTTGGAGCCCTCCTTGTACTTCAAGGTGTATCTGTGTGAGGGAAGACAATTTATAGCTTTATTAAAAAAAAAAAATTCCTGGCCACTTCTTCTCTAACGCTTAAAGGGATCTGCAGTTGGCAGTGAGGACAAAGGGAAGGGTTTGGTTGCAACCCAAGAAGGCACAGCGAGAGAAGAAGGGGCTTGTGCAGAAGCCAACCGAGTCTTGTTTGAAAGCCAAGAGCTATTGGCTTGTCATTTAGACATGAATCAGAAGTGAAATGTTTGGGCCTGACTAGAAGGATGGGGAGGTTCTGGAAACCGGGAGAACGGGCGTGGAGGGGTTGTGTCATGGAGAACAGGGAGTCGGTGGAGTGGGACTGCAGCCTCCCAATTTGGAGGAGGCAGCGGGAAGGCGGGAGAGGCGGGAAAAAGGGGTGCTGTCTTTGGGTTAATGCCATGGGGCATTTGGCCCAGACTCAGCAGTTAGATTAAGTTTCCGAAAGCACATTCCTGAGCAGAATGGGGGCTGTGTTTTGCTGGTTGGCTGGTGTGCGAGGGAGGCTGAGCAGCAGAAGGGATTACCAAAGGCCTAGTCTGCACTTAGAAGCCAGGCTGGGCAGTGGCGTGCCGGTGTGCACGCACGCACACCCCACACAGTTCGAGACTTCCTTTTCCTCGGGCCTCCTCTGCGCGTGTCCAGATGTTCATCCTCTGACAAGGCATTGGCTGTGTGGCCTGCCTGGCAGACTGCTTCCTGCATCTCAGTGAACTTCTGGAGATCACTAGAGCTTTTGATGATCCGGGCTGGGGCCTGGCATGAGGATTCGGGGTACGGAGAGGCCACTAGCAGGACTTTCCTGGTCCAGACCTCTTTGGCCCTGATGCTGGGGCGTGGGGGTTGCACCTGGCCTTCATCCCCACCTGGTGACGTCGGCTTCTGGTCTTCAGGTAAAATTGAACCACCTGAAGAATCTCACCTGAGCACTCCTACCCTCCACCCCAGCTTGCCCTGGCCGTGTGGATAACGGCTGCCCTCGCTCTGTGGAGGTGCCTCCCCAATCTCCTCTGTAGGGAATTCTTTCCTTATGGAGCCCACATGTGGTTTGTGGTAAATCTCTCTTGCTGCTAATGCCTCACTTCAGACCACCTTATTTAATTCTTGCTTTTTGACATGCATTTGGCTTTGAGATCCTTGTTTCCTTTTACCTTTCTTTTCACAAGCTTTACACCAGGAGCCAAATGCTTGACATGGCTCAAACGTTCCCACTCTGTGCACCTGAGCCAACAGCAGGAATTGCCAACGGACACCACAGTCCGCTGTCCAGGCCCCGACTCGGCCTGAGAAGGGTTCTCACAGCACAGCAGTGCTCACACTGGTTCACCAGAGCTGACATGCCTGTCACAGCCACTTCCTGTCCCTTCCCTCCAATAACCTGCCATTCAAGTAATTACCCTACATAGTTCTTCATCTTCAGCTTTTTTCCCATTTTTATTCCTTAAGTCTCAAATGAGAGAATATGTGATAGTAATTTTTTGAAGCGTTTTATACATTCCAGGCGTTTATTCATTCATCAATTTGGTCAACACACATTTGTGGAGTGTTTTCCTGCGGAGTCTCCGGGCCTGGCTGCCCAGGTCCATCCTGGCAACAGCCCTTCGGAATCCAGAGTCCAGGGGGTGGCAAAGCGCCAGCCATAGCCGGAACCAAGAGAGAGCATTGCCTTGTTAGGAAGAGAGAGCTCACCAATTCCTGTGATCTTCTTTACTCCCCATGTACACCTGTTCTCCAACCTAGAGCCCCGCCTCCCAGCTGCCTGTCAGAGGGGCCCGCGGTGGCCCTGCCCTGCTGTCACTGTGGCCCGCAGGTGCCGTGTAGGCCTCTGTTGTACACTGCCACTCAGCCTTCCAGCCAGGCTGGGCTGAGCCGGCCCCCAGAATGTGAATGCCACAAACAGGAGCCTTGTCTCCTTTAGCTCAGCTCCCCCAACTCTGATTCCCATCAGACATTTCCTTGAGGTCATCTAGGCTCTGACCCTGAGCCCAGAACAGGCCATGAAGGGCCACTGTAGACATTTCTTTCTTCAAGTCATTTCTAGCTGCCTTCATCCCTGTTTCAGTCAGAGTTCTACAGAGAAGCAGAACCAATTTTACATATATATGGAGAGAGAGAGAGAGAAATAGAGACAGGGAAAAAGAGAGATGGAGAAAGAGGTTTAAAGGACTGGCTCCCATGATGGTGGAGGCTGGGAAGTCCATAATCCATAGGGACTCAGGACCCCCACTTGGGAAACAGCAAACCATCTGTTCTCCAACCCTGGGTTCAGTATTTGGATGTTTTAGAGAATGGAGTTCTGAGAATTGGGGAGTGTTTAGAATTCCCAACTATGCACCGTGAGACCTAGTCCCGATGGCTGAGGATCTCACTCTAATGGAACATGGGAGCCAAAGAGCAAGCCAGACCTCTGAGTGGCCTCACAGGCGTGTAAACAGATTTTAGTGGGAGCTCAGATGAACAGTGATTCAATTGGGGGATTGAGAAAGACCCGGAGCTGAGTTTGAAGAATGTGTGGAGACACCTTTATTTCAAATCTTTTGAGTCCTCACATACCTTCCTCTGACCTTCAACAACTAAACTCACCTATCAGTATTGTGTACTGAGACTGAAGCCCAGGCCAGTTTCCGGGATGGGGCAGGTACTGGCATAGTGAGTTTAATTTCCGGTGCTCGTCTCCACAGTGAGTTCACTCAGGTCCTGAGTCTAACCACCAGGTGATTGTCTCTTTCTTGCTGCTCCTCCTATTCCCACTCCACTCCCAACCCCCACTTCTCACTGTTTCCCCT